GCAGCTTTGGGGACCAGCTCGGTCATCAAGGACTTGCCCTCCGGGGCGGGGTACAGGATCTGAGGAGAGTTGTCGTTCACATCCGATATGAAGACACTGACGCTCACGTTGCTGCTGAGCGGAGGAGAACCGTTGTCTCTGGCCATCACGTGGACTTTAAAGCTCCTGAACTGTTCATAATCAAACGACCTCACAGCGTGGATCACCCCCGTGTCTCCGTTAACAGACACATAGGAGGACACCGGGGCACCGTTCACCTCACCAGGTAACACAGAATAAATCACTGTACCGTTTTGTCTCCAGTCGGGGTCTCGAGCAGTGACGGAACATAAAGTGGAGCCAGGTTTGTTATTCTCACTCACATATGCGCTGTAGGACTGTTCCTCAAACACAGGTGGGTTGTCGTTGATGTCTGCTACAGATAACTGAACAGTTTTAGAGGAGGACAGAGGTGGAGAGCCCTCGTCAGTGGCAGTGATTGTAATGTTGTAATCAGACACCAGTTCACGGTCCAGTTGTCCTGTGGTCACCAGGGAATAATAGTTTTTAATAGAAGGAACCAACTTAAAGGGGACGCCTTGTTGAATGGAGCAGCGGACCTGTCCGTTAGTCTCAGAGTCTCTGTCCTGCACGTTAATGATGCCCACCTCTGTATTTGGTGGGGCGTCTTCCGGTATGGAATTTTTCAACGTCTTAATGAACGTAAGTGGGGCGTTATCATTTACATCTATGACGTCAATTAATAAGATACAGGATGACACTAATCCAAGACCATCCTTGGCACTAATTTGTATTTCATAGGCCGACAATTCCTCATAATCTATTGATCCACTTACTTTCACTTCACCACCTGTCTGATCAAGAAAAAAAGCATTATTACTTTCATCTGATATGTGATCAAATTCATATGTCACTTCACCATTGACTCCCTCGTCAGCATCAGTTGCGCTTACTCTGACCACTATAGTGTCTAAAGGAGTGTTTTCAGGCAGACTGGCTTTATAAACGGCCTGGCTAAACACTGGAGCGTTATCATTAGCATCCAGCACAGTGACATGAACGACTGCAGTACCTGATCTCTGAGGCGTGCCTCCGTCTGTTGAAACAAGCACAATGATTAGCTCCCGCTGTTGTTCTCTATCCAGCTCTTTCTCTAAAATTAACTCGCTGTACTTTCCCCCTCCGCTCTTTTGAATAACATTCAACTTGAAGTTTTCATTTGCTTCAATACTATAGCCCTGGATGGCGTTTTGTCCAATATCGGCATCATAGGCCTCGTCTAAACGGTAGCGACTTCCTTTTATTGCCGATTCACTAATTTCAAATTTAATTGTATTCTTTTTAAACTGTGGAGAATTGTCGTTGATATCTTGAATGTGAAGACTAATGCGGTGCAACTCCAAAGGATCTTCCAAAACAAGCTCCTGCTTTAAAATGCAGGATCCCTTTTTGCCACAAAGCCCCTCTCTGTCAATCCTATCAGCAACAATGATATCTCCAGTGATCTGATTAATGTCACAATACCGTTTGCTGTTGCCGTCTGCATCAATACGAGCC